AACACCTTGGGAGTTTTTAAGGACACAGGAGAGTCAGGACCTCAGTTTTACATCTCATCTGAAGGACGGCGCCTTTTTACAGTATAGTGTCCGCGTCACAATAGTGGGGCATTAGGACCCACACACGCAGCAGGGTGAGCGCCCCCTGCTGGCCCCACTAACACCTCTTCCAGCAGCAACCTTAGTTTTCCCCAGGAGGTCTCCCATCCAGGTGCTGGCCAGGCTCACACCTGCTGAGCTTCAGTGGGGCTGCCAGCTATGAGTTGCAGAGTGATATGGCTGCTGGCAAAAGGGGGATCATTTTCATGCCAAAGACTTCAGCTGAGTGTTGCTGTAAGGTTATGTGACAGTACCATAGAGAGTGAGGACATACCTGATGACAAGTGTGTCCACCAGCAAATTACACTCCTGGCTCTAAGAATCCCTGCGTTTTCTTCCAAGTCCGCTCTTCGTTGCTCAAGCTAATGTAGCCCCCCTTTTGGAAACTCTGTAGCCCCCTTTTTGGAAACTTGGCAGAACGGCTCTTACCCTTTGAGGTGCGCATAGATCCTGTTGAGCGTGTCGGGGTCGCTGTGGGGGTCCTGCAGCTGGACCCGGCAGGTGAAGCGCAGCTGGTGCTCGCTCAGGCCCAGCTCCTTCAGGGCCTGATCGGGAGAGACCAGGCGCAGGCTCTGCAAAGGCAAACGGGAGCTCTGCTCACACTCTCGGCACAGGGGCGGAGACGCAACCGGCCTGAAGCACAGCCAAACAAAGGCGGTTCGGCATCGGTGCCCCTTCAAGAGCTACGCAGATTGAAGATTAGAGAAGGGCTTCAAAGCCGATCCAAATAGACTAACGAGTATTCAAACCACGATTAATTGCTTTTGTACGCTGCATTTTTCATCCCAAAGAAGTTCACAAATGGAAGGGAGCCCACTTTATGCACCCCTGTGCAGCACCTACTATAAAAATGCTAATTAAATTAAAAGGGGATTCGCAAAAAAAGCATACCAAAACATTTGAAATTATTACCCTACAGATTAAATGTAATGCCGTAGAGAAGATTTTATGTGTGTTTTCTGAAATGAGGCACCTGCGTGTTTTTGTTTTACTCAGTGGAATCATGTCAGAAGCTTATACATCATGTCACATAATAGACAGCTAAAAGCTAATTTCATATCATTCCATCCATCCACTAGGAACTGGAGCCCAGCAAGACAGGTTACACAATAGACAGGACGTTGGTCCATAGTAGGGGACACTCAGACTCTAGGTCCAATCTTTTCAGTCGTCAATTAACCTACCAGTCTGTCTTTAGACTGTGTGAGGAAACCAGAACACCCATAGGAAACCAGTGCAAGCGTGGTGAGAACATACAAACTCCACACAGACAG